CACTCATCTTCTGTCACCTATAAGAAGCTCTCAGCACAGTCATCACGTCTGTTTTGAAAGCTTCTGCTCACATCTCTGCCTGAACACCCTTCTCTTCTTTTTCTCCGTCCCGTCAGTGGCTCCTTCGCAGCTCACGTACACGCTCTTCGCTCTTCGTGCAGGCAAGCCAACACACCATCAATACAATAACATTCTTTTTTTATTAGTTATATTAATACAATAACATTCTATTTTGTTAATTTTTCGCTCTAAAATACCATTTAAGTACCAAAAACAAACACTAATTCTCAGCAGAACAGGTTAATTTGTACAAATTAATCTCATTTAAATACATAATTTTTCCTTTTAAAGCAAGTTCCTCATGCAGGCCATTCTAGTTCATACCAGCAGGCAACAGTGCAGACCCCAGGGCAGCTGCATTTGGTGCTGGTTCATCAAAAGCCAGGCAATGCTCCAGCTTCTGAAAGGCTTTAAGACTCCATCTAAGAAAAAAAAATTTAAAAAGATTCTACCTAAGGATACTTGAGATCAACATCAATTTCTTTTGAGTAGTTAAAAACAAAACAAAACAGAACAAATGAGCCCCCTGTTAATTGTTCGCGTGAACACAAGACTCTCCCAGTCTCAAGCCCTTCTCACCTCCGTTGTTCCTTTTGATTGCAGAGGCTCTGGGTGTTTTAAGCAAAAGTCACAGCCTCACCCCAGCTCACTAAAAAATAAAACAAGAAGCTGTATCCTGTGCCAATGTGGTCAAGGCTACTTTCCACTTTCTCTTCTATCAGGCGCAATATATCTGGCTTTAGTTTGAGGTCTTTGATCAACCTGGACTTGAGTTTGGTGGAGAGTGGTGACAGATGTGGATCTATTTGCAACCTCCTACGTGCTGACATCCAGTTAAGCCAGCACCATTTGTTGAAATTGTTCTTTTTCCTGTGTATAATTTTAGCTTCTTTGTCAAAAATCACATGTTCCTGGGTGTGTGGATTTATGTCAGGATCTTCAATCTGATTCCATTGATCAGATTCTCGCATCTGTTTTATGCAAACGCCAGGCTGTTCTCAGTGCTGTAGCTCTGTAGTAGAGCTTGAAATCAGGGATGGTGATGCCTCCAGACGTTCCTTTATTGGTTGTACAGGATTGGTTTAGCTATCCTGGGTCTTTTTGTTTTGTTTTGTTTTTCTATGTGAAGTTGAGTATTGTTCTTTCAAGATCTGCAAAGAATTGTGTTGAAATTTTGATGATAATTGCATTGAATCTGTAAACTGCTTTTGGTAAGATGGCCATTTTTACTGTGTTAATCTTGACAATCCATGAACACGGGAGATCTTTCCATCTTCTGCTGCCTTCTCCAGTTTCCCTTTTTAAGGACTTGAAGTTTTTGTCATGCAGGTCTTTCACTTGCTTGGTTAGAGTTACTTCAACATATTTTATATTATTTATGGCTATCGTGAAGGGTGAACTATGTTTATAGCAACATTAGTCATAATAGGCAGAACCGGGAAACAAATTCGATGCCCCTGAACCAAAGAATGGATAAAGAAAATGTGGTCCATTTACACAATGGAGTAGTACTCAACTGTTAAAAACAATGACAGGAGGAAATTTGAAGGCAAATGGATGAAACTAAAAAAAGAAAAATCGTCCTAAGGGAGGCAACCCAGACCCAGAAAGACAAACATGTGTGTGCTCACTCATAGATGGATATTAGCTGTAAAGGATAACCATGGTACAACTCACAGCCTCAGAGAGTCTAGATAACAGGAGGACCCAAAGGGGAATGCATGGATTTCCCTGGGAAGGGCAAACAGAAGAGATCCCCTAGGTAGACTGGGGACAGGTGGGGTTGGGGGGGTCCATGGAGGGGCAGAATATTGAAAGAGATGTCCTGATATGGAGGGCTTTTGGGGGTCAAGTATAAACCTGGTGCAAGGAAAATTTCACAAATATACAAGGATGACCCCAGCTAAGACTCCTAGCAATAGTGGATAAATAGCATGAACTGGCAATCTCCTGTAATCAGATTAGTGACTACTTTGATTGCTATCAAAGAGCATTCATCCAGTAACCGACAAAAACAGATGCAGAGACCCACAGCCAAGCACTGGGCTGAGCTCAGAGAATCTTGTTGAAGAGAGGGAAGAAGGATTGTAGGTTGTAACATGAGGGGCTTCTTGTTGGGGTCTCCATCCTGCCCTGTTCCCACAGCTGGCAAGTCCCAAAGAAAATCACACAGAGGTCTCCCTAAGTTTATAAACTGATTGGCCCATTAGCTCAGGCTTCTTATTAGCTCTTTTAATGTATACCAGCCCATTATTCTCATATGTGTTAGCCACATGGCTTGGTACCTCTTTCAGTGGGGCAAGTCACATCTTGCTTTTTTCATGATCTTCACAGGACTGGGAGGAATGGGCTTCCTCCTTCCTAGAATTCTCCTGTTCTCATCACCCCACCTTGACTTCCTGTCTGGTTGACCTGTCTATACTTCTGGCCTGGTCAATCAGCGTTTATTTAAAAACATGATTGACAGAATACAGACAATTCTCCTGCACCACTTCCCCCTCTTTTTCTTTTTAAACAAAGGAAAATATCCATAGTCCATTTTTGGGGAATGAAAGCATAGTATTCCAGGTTACTTCTGGCTGGTTGGGGGTGCTGATAATCTTATGGGGACCTAAAGAAAATTTACAGTTATTATCAATTCCTGACTGGAGTATCCTGTGAGTCTTGATCATCTTATGTAGCAGTCTTGAATCTGTTCTGGTTGTAGAACTCAGACATCCGGGCCATCTGATTCTACCGGAGATTTCTCAGGTGGTCTTCCTTGATCAAACCTGATTTTTCTTAACTCAGAATGAATCCACAGTCTCTCATTTCCTATGGAAACAAAAACAAAATCTCTTCTCCAAAGTAACATACCTTTTAACTTCAATATTGAAGTCAAGGTATTTTCAAAATACCTATCTTGGATGAATTCAGCAGCATTTATAAGCAAATATCTTTTAGCAGCTGTTGCTCCTTCCTCAGCATTCAAACAATTCAAAGAGAGCATAATAGCATACAGTATCAAGATTCTCTGTGTATTTTTCATCTTTACGTGGCTTTATCTTAACCTTTATTTCTTTTATTTTTACTTTTAACTTTTGGCTTTTTGAGACAGGTTCTCTGTGTATCTTTGTCCTAGAATTCCCTCTGTAGACCTCTGTCCTTGAATTCACAGAGATCCACTTACCTCTGCCTTCCAAGTGCTGGGATTAAAGGTGTCCGCCACCACACCTTGAATTCATAGAAGTCTCTCTGCCTCTGCTTCCCAGGCATTGGGATTAAAGGTGTGTACCACCACACCCAGCTACTCTTTTTCTTTTTTATTTTAAGGACTTTAACCTTTAGCCTGCATATATTTTTAACACACTGTAAAACATTTAGAGGTTTTCTTCCTCTTTGCATCTCTCTTTACTGTATATCTCTCTTTTTCTGACCACATGAGTATTTAATTTGTCAAGCACTATGGCTAGGATTAAAGTTGTGGCCTTGATAGCTGGATCCAGCCCATTCCTTAGCATTATGAGATTCCAGCCTTGTGACAGAGGTGCTGGCCAGAGTCTTGTTCACTGCCACAACTCTACAATGTTTCAAGGTCCCTGACAGCAAGCAAGGTGAAGCAGTCTGCTCAGAAACCACACTCAAATGCTTGTAGTCAGACTGTCTGCCTGAAAGAGTCAGAGATTGCCCTGACAGGATGGCCCAGAAAGCTGGCATTTTAAAACTGTGCAGCTTTTTTCCTACTGTGACTGAAAACCAAAAAGCATGCAGTCAGTTTTTCATCAACACCATTTAAGTGTTTCATGGCAGGACATTTTAAAAGAGGTGCAAGGTTTTGCAGCTAAAGCTGAGTCAGGAATCCTCTTTTAAATGAGATCACTTGTTTGCCTCTAGCAAGCAGACCTGAGAAATTTCTGCTACCCAGAAACCATGCGTGATGCTGTCATTTTGTTCTAGAATTACTTCCCAAGCTGTCTCAGGCTTTCTGTGGATGCAGTTATCCACGTGGGCGCCATTCTGTAACAGGAGGGGCTGCTTGTTGGAGTTTCTGTCCTGCCCTGTTCCCACAACTAGCAAGTCCCAAAGAAAATCACACAGAGGTTTCCATAAGTTTATAAACTGACTGACCCATTAGCTCGGGCTTCTTATTAGCTCTTATAATGTATCCCAGCCCATTATTCTAGTATATGTTAGCCACATGGCTCAGTACCTCTTTCTGCGGGGCAGGTGGCAGCTTGCTTCTTCTGTGGTCTGCATAGGACTGGGAGGAATGGGCTTCTCCTTCCTAGAATTCTGTTCCCATCGTCCCACCTCTACTTCCTGTCTGGTTGACCCACCTATACTTCCTGCCTGGCCAATCATTATTTATTTAAAACATGATTGACAGAATACAAACAATTCTCCCACACTTGTAGGTGCCAGTGGGTCAATGTCATCACAAGAGAACCCACAGAAACTGGCCCATAGGAACTTACAGGGTCTGGACTCACAGCCAGAGGGTCTGTGTGGGGCCAACCTAGGTCCACTACATATGCGTGACAGGTATATAGTTTGATCTACTTATAGGACTCCTAGCAGTAAGTGCAGGGCCTGTACCTAACCTATTCCTCATACTGGGTTGCCTTGCACACCCTTAATACAAAAGGAGGAGCTTAGTCCTACCTCAACTTGATGTACCAACCATGCTTTGTTGATATTCATGGATATTCTGCCCTTTTCTGAACAGAAACAGAGGAAGAATGGATGGGAGGGGAGCAGAGGAGAGGTGAGATGAGATGAGGGAGGAGAACTGCAGTCAAGATGTAAAAGAACTGAATAAGTTTAATAAGAAAAAACAAAACGTAGAAATAGTTATATCTTTTATATAACAAATAAATATGAAGTCCCGAGTGCCTTGTAGCTGTACACCAATTCCCACTGTCACTTCTCCACCAACGCTGCCACTGCTGCCACTGGTGTTCTTAGCTTCCTCTGGCTGATGCTCTCAATTCTCCAGTCTCAACATTCAGTGTATGCATCACCCAGTCCACTGTTACTAGGCACTTGTTAGCCTTGGAAGACACTGTGCTCACCAACAACAGTCCTTCAAGGGAGCTACTGAAGCTGGTCCCTTTCACGGTGACGATGGTTTCCTGTGTCAGGACAGTTTTCTCTGGGTCCTGGGGGTGCGGCTTGTATATGAGCCTCTCATCTACTGAGACCATATTTGAAATGAGGTATTAGTGGACTTGAACGCCATTGTCTTCTTTGGGAGAGACTACAGAATGCTCTTGCATGTATGTTTTAATTCATACTGCACCAATCAGAGACATTACAACGGGAGACAGAACCCACTCTGTGCTGAGCAATCTGTGCTTACACAGCTCTACTGAGGAATCAACATGTCCGTCCAGCATATCAATGCCACCCATGCTCAGGTTCACAGGGTTGGGCATTTCTGCACTGTGGTAGCGGTAACCATCTCCTGTGGGTGATCAAAGACATGCTCTGAGGCTCAGCTCTTCGTGATGCCAGTTGCATATCTGGTGTCCCTGATTTGTTCCTTCGCATGGATGAACGTGTGTGTGTGTGTGTGTGTGTGTGTGTGTGTGTGTGTGCATATATAGTTTCTTTACCTGCTCACCGATTGATAGACATATGATCCATCTACAAATCCTGCCATTTCTATTTCCAAAATATACCTAAAATTCAGCCCCTTTCATCAACCTTATTCAAGCTACAGTCATTTCTACTAACACTCAAGCCTTGTGTCATTTAATTTCCCTATTCAAATTATCTCATGTATCCCTGTTTCAATTTTGGAAAGGGGTCAGGATCTTATCATGGTCATGTGATCTCTTCACCATTAGCTTTTGACCTTATTTCATTGTATCTCTCTTGTCCACATTGGCTCTCTTACTGTTCTTCAAATGCACCAAGTACGCACTCACTGTGGTACACTAGAAACTGGCCAAGGTAGAAACTCGCCAAGGATACACCAGCCTCAATGTCTGGAGTCTATTTGTGTGATCCTATCTTGTTTTTATTTTTGCTTGACTGAGCCCTGGACCCAGAGGCCAGGCCACGCTATGCAGGAGCTCCACCACCGAGCTGTATCTTCAGGAAAGTCATTGCAAACATGATTATGTTTTGAAATGTAGACATGGAGATGTACCTAGGATGATCTAAGGGACCTTAAATATGATTACACAGGCTCTAAACAGAGAGGTAGAGACTATGTGTCACAAACAAGAACAAGATAATAAAAAAGATAGAGCAGAGAGATATTGAAGATGCTAGACTAGATAGGGGTGCTGTGGCTACAAGCCAAGGAATTCTGCAGCTACCAGAAACTGACAGAAGCTGGAACTCCTTGAGTTGGAGTTCAACCCCAGATGTGGCCTGCTCAGACCACCGCTTTCAGACAGCCCCTGAGTTTGACAGAACCCATATGTCACATGCATTATGAAAGCACTCTGTCACTAAGCCACACCTCTAGCCCTGACTTGTTGGTTTCACCAAGTTTACTGTCATTTGACAGCAACCATATAAGAAACTCATGTAAGCATCTCTTGCCATTTCCTCCTCCTAGCATCTCCCCAAACCAGATATCACTAATGCTACTTCCACTATCTCCTTCAAGTCTGTGACCTAATACAACTTCAGAAAGGCGTCCCCCATGGCCCTATGTAAACCCCACTTGCACTCATGTATATACGCACGCATCCTTGCCATCACGATCTTCATTACTGTTCCTGTCATTATTACATTCCAACAGTCTATGTGTGTTAGCTTCCTGCTCCTAAATGCCAACTTCAGAAGAACATACACAGTTTTCCCTTGTAGTTCCTCTATACTACAAATATATAAAACAGTCCCTTTTATAGGGCAAAAGCCTGAGAACCACTTGCTGAACAAGTTTGGTTTACTTGAGTTATTTACAGCAGCTCCCCAGGAGCAATAGGTGCTGTCTGATTTGGCGTTCATCGTCTATTTTTAACAACACACACAAATGAGCCACCACAAATACCTTGGTCTAATCTTGCTTAAAGAAGGTTGGATCTGGGGCTGACAGCGTAGTTCAGTGGCTGAGAGTGCAAGCTGTTCTTGCAGAGGATCCACGATCAGTCCCCAGCACCAGAACCAGGTGGCTTACAATAGCCTGTAACTTCCCAGGCACCTACATTCTTGCATGCAAGTCCCTACACACACACACACACACACACACACACACACACACACACACACTGAAAATAAGTCATTATTTTATAAGTCAGACAAAGATAGAAGCTCTAAAAGTCAACAGTGCCCTACAATAGCATTACAGTTCAGGAAGCAGTCCCCTAAGTATATTCTGGATTTCACAAGTCTCATCTTTGGGGCAGTGCCCAGGTGTCAACATTATTTTAGGAAAAAAAAACTAAGCAGCTGGATTTCAGAGCTACCTCAGATGTTTTTTAACCTATATGCTTGAGAAGTTGAGAGAGAACTGCTATTGCATTTTGTTTTATTTTTGCAATCAAAGAGAAATGTTTTTCGGCATTGTGTGTCAGCTGCTAATTACTTTTCCATTACCTAAAACGGTCACAGCTGTCGTTGTGCCACACCTGTCTCTGGATAAGATCACTTTAGGAGCTGGCAGATTTTCTGCTGTCCATCAAATGTGTTGACATTCACCGTCACCAAAGGCCATGATTCTCTGTACTGCAGAGAGGACCTCTGCAGTTCTGACCCTCGCTGCCTCCTCACTCACAGTGAGAGAGAGCGCTGCTATTCTTTTAACTCTTTTCTTTGTTCTGTTTAATTTTGTTTTGATTAAAAAAAAGAGCAGTGGTTGAGTTTGTATTCCTTCTTGTATTTAAATATAATGACATGTTTTATTTGAACTGAGATCTGTGACACTTTTGGAACAATTTTTCTGCTTGAACTTCACCCATGTGATCCATCCATGTGAACATCACCAGTGATGGTGTGGAAGTGCTTGGTTGATTGGTTGGTTTCTAACTATGCACATGTGTTTGTGTACGTGATTCCTGGTGCCTGTGAAGGACAGAGGTATTGGATCCCACTGAAACTGAAATTGTATGCAGTTGGGAGCCACTCGTCCTGAGTTCGAGCAACCGAATTCAGGTCTTCTGCAAGAACAGTTTACCTTCTTAACCACCGAGCTGAGCTCTCCCTCCACCCTCAGTTTGGGAGTTTGTATGCTCCAGATCTTTCCTCGGTTTTTGAAGACCATTCTCTTAGCGGTCTTAGCGGAGAATGAATGCAGTTAGTCATCGCTTGAGTGGAGGAAAGGGCTTGTGGCATGAGAAGGTATTCACTTTGTCATATGCTCGCTCTCAGCTGCCCAGTTCGGGCGCTGGCATATTCAGGTAACGTCTTCAGATCTACTGTGCAGCTCATTCTGTTTGGAAACCAATATTGAATAGATGGCAGGGTCATCAATAAACTGATACAAAAAGAATCTACTGTTCTCTATCGCTGTCTTGGAGGCTTTTGTTTATGGAGCTCAAAGGAAAGAAAAAAGAATAAAGAAGATTTTTAAGCAATGCAACTGATGCATATTGCATGCGCTGGGGACTGTGGTTAGTGTTCAGTGTGCATGACCTCATGCAGCACTTTGAGGCCAGTAAGATTATCGCACTTTGCCATGGGAGAAGCGGAGGAATACTCAAATGAATTGCTATGGAGCAGTTAAGTCATTTGGCTTGCTCAAGCACCCATAAGCATTTGATCAAAGATTCCACTCTTAGGCCTGTCTGGCTCCACATTTACTATTTAACCAATTACTTGGCTAATTTCCTTGCTATGGTGTAAATTTAATCAAATAATCTGAGGTCCCAAAATGCTTCTCCTGAAAAAGAGAAATTGTCCTGCAAATTGAGCAGAAGACTCTTTCTGCTTTATTCGACTTGGGTTCCCATTCCAGAGAAACACCCGGTGTCTGGGAACTTTGAGGAGGAAGCGGGGCTTTAAAGCAAAAACAGGCCACAGCCATAAAGAGTCAGATGGCTAACATCTGGACAGCCCGTGGTCGGGCCGGGCAGGCTGCTGTGTGAATTACAAAGGTATGACAAATTTTTGACTCTGTTCTAATTTGGCTCAGCCCGCCTCCCTCCAGTTGTTTTGGCACAGCCTCTCCGATTTGGGCCCAACTGCCCCTTCATGAAACAGTCTACTCCGGAGGATTATCACGCAAGTTTTCTGTTTTGTTTTCCATCACACTTTGTTTATGTGCTGCAGAGGAGGGATCTCGTCATCTCTGAGGGCTCCTTACATCATATTCTCGACTCTGGGCATGGGGAACCCCTGAGTATAAGCATTTATAGTTACACAGGGATTGTTGCCCGGGTGTCTGGCTCTCAGGGATCCCTACAGGAGTACAGACCTCTTAGAAAACCTCCTGGGGGCTCTAGCTCTTCTGAGATTCTTGCTCTCCGCTGCCGCTTGACCAGCAGCTGCCCCGGTGCCCAACACTGACATCTGTATTAATTCCTATTAACACTCCGAGGTGCTACGTCCGACTTTTTCATCTTGATCAAACTTTAAGAATATCTCATCCCAGTTCCTACTTGGGAAAGGATGTCAGGCTACAATGTGACATAAAAACTAACTGCATAGTAAGAAGACAAAGGATCACAGAGTCAGGGCCAGGCAGCACCTGAGTTCTGTGTTATCACATAGGATGGGAAGTGCGAGGCAACCCTCTAGACTACAAAGCAGCCTTTCTCACCCGTGGGTCTCCACCCCTTGGGAGCAGTGGCCCTTTCACGGGAGTTATGTAAGACCATAAAAAAAACACGAATGTTTGCATTCTAATTCATAATGGTAGCAAAATGAGAGTTACGAAGTAGCAATGAAAAGAGTGTTATGGTTGGGGGGTGTCACCACAACATGAAGAACTGTGTTAAAGGTCCCAGCACTGGGAAGCCTGAGAACCACCGCTGGAGTCCGCAGAAATTGATTTCACAAGGTGAATTTGGTAGGTGGACAGAAAGACAATAGGGAAGCAATGTAACTCACAGGGTCACCTACCCACGCAGTAGTACAGAAAGGATTAAAACCCATATCTGTCTTATTTGAAGGTTATTGTTTTTAGTTGATATGATCTATTAAATTGATTTGAACAAGGCAAGGCTAGTACTGGGTTAGTACCTTGAGCTTTCAGATAAATATAACAAAGGGAAACAAGACACAAAAGTAAGCAATAGCAGACTCTGCCCTAAGTGTAAAAATATTAATAAAGTAGGCAGGAGACATGGGTCCTAACCACAGTTTGCTGTACCAAGTTACCATGTAAGTGAGCGAGGGAAATAGATTCAGTTCTCAAAACATGGAACTCCTCAGAACATGAACTTCAACTGTCCTCCAAACATAAGTTTCTATTTCATTATCTAAATACAGTGACAATGCTCCATCAACAGGAAGATATGACAAAACTCTCCTTTGTGAA